CCTTCCGGTTTCTGGATCCACAAAGGAACCGACTAATCTGGAATCGAGCCGGGTAGGACCACAAGGGCGGCAAAGCTCTCCCTCAAGAGTTTTAACACTGCTGCATTCCCAGGGCTCGAACTCGAGACCACTAGTTAAGCTGGAAGAGACCCAAACCATCTCATTATTAATAAAGATGGCAAACACACCTCTGTTTCATAGACATACTCACAATTATATATATATTTGTGCCTGTCACACTTGTGAGTCATATATATATTATAATACGTCAATGCTTTGCAATATCAATGTATAGTGAAAAAGATGCCACAACATAACAAATACCACATCACTAATACCCAACTATTTTAAAATAACTTATTAAAAGACTACGTTTATTTTACAAAGGCAAGTTGGAAAGAGGAGTTTATACTCCTTTACAACAATATATAGCCACTAAAATACAAAGGGTTGTTTATCTCCTCCCGTTCCATTAAAATTCCTACCCACTCGCAAAGGAATAATAATAATAATAATAATAATAATAATAATAATAATAATAATAATAATTTTAGGAAATACTACAGTCATGTTACAGAACTATTTCGTTTGGAGTTGTAACCGTTAGATCATCATGTGATCGTCGTGGATAGTTGATCTAACGGTTATAAACCCCGACAAAATGATTCTGGTAACAAGACCATAGGGTCACCCAAAATTCTTGTGCCAGTTACATGCGGCATGCCTAAAAGTTAAGTTAAGCAAATTGTTCCCATTTTTTTTATTTGAATGTAGTTTCACGAATAAGTCATTTTTTCAGTCATTATACTCATTCTTAAATTCAATATAGTATTTTAAATATTTATTTTAAAGAAAACATTTAAATTTTTTTTAACATTATCTAAATATTTTCTCGGTATTACCACAGAGAAATTCTATTACAAGGTCCAACTTTTTGAAATTGTATCAATTTTTTTTTTTTTTTTTTTTTTTTTTTTTTTTTACCGAAACGATATATTTTATGTGAAAAACACGTGATTACAACTAGAGATCGTCCAGAACAAGTCAAGTGCCATCAAGTCGAATCTAGCTGGAGGACTTCACACAGAAACGCATCCTAGAATTAGCCAACTTAACTCACCCACTAAAGAACAAAACTAAACAATCCATAAGAGAGAATCAAATTTCAAAAGAGAAGAAAAACACTCTTAGAAAGGAGAACCAAACTTTCAAAAAGAACAATCACACTCCTAATGATAAGGATCTACCCTAACACACCCAAAACAACATAAAAACAAAACAAATACACAATATTAGAATAACTCTTCCCCTAACAAACTGCAAAGCCACGAACAGTACCCAGAGACGACAACCCACACATATAGGAACTCAAGCTGAATAAGGCTCCAGAAACCCCAGAGACGGCTAACTCGACTAACTGAAACTACACCACAAGCCAAATTCACTACCCGAGTGAACCACTCCAGACCAGCGATCGGAGGCCAGCTCTACCTTATCTCACACACCAACTAAGGACTGCGGGCACAAAACCGACCCGACAACTTCACACAAACCAGCAGCCAAGGCCACAACCCACAACCCGCGGCCCGCATCTGGCCAGGATCCCAGCATTAGGGAAGATCGAAAAAGGGAAAATGAGAACTTTGCCTCGTCCCCGACCAACTTTATGAAGACGATTGGAACCAGCCGCTTAAGCCCATCTCATCACCCGTCTGAAACTCGTCTGGACATAGTCGACCGAGGAGAGCGGCGAAGCACTACACCAGAGAAGACAGACAGTGCTTCCAGAGACGAGCAGTACGGCCCGCCAGTGACGACCGTCGTCATGGCGTCACAGAGAGCCCGAAAGGGGAAAACACCGACATATTTGAAGCTAGGGTTTATGTTTTTTAAATTTGGGGAAATCGCGGAGTTGAGAGAGAGAGAGAGAGCATTGAGTTTGTAAAAAAAAAAAAAAAAAAACGAATGAAATTGTATCAATTTAAGGTCTGAATTTTATTATTTCTCAATAGATGACTTTTATTTTAGGTTATTCTCAATTTAAGACTCATATTTTAGTTATCTTCTTATTGTAAGGCTCAACTAACTTAAATTTTTGATATAAATATGTGAACCAATTCAGTTTATTTTACTATATAGTTATGTGAACAAAAACAATTTTGAATATCACTAGTAAGTTGTCTCACATCGTTTATCTAAGAAAAATAGACCTAACTTATAAGCCTAGCTAGTGGACTACTCCTCCTACCACTAATTGATTTTGGGATGAAACTTCACATGAGCTTTATCAATGCATACCCTCGTATAGTGACTGCACCCATATCCCCCTATTATTACATGGTATCAAAGCCGGCCTACGTGGGTCTTGGCGATGACGTATCCGTTACCTGGTCTATGTGGGCTTGGGCTTCGTATGAAGGATTCACAAGTGAGGTGCATGTTAGAATATCACTTTTGAGTCGTCCCACATCCTTTATACAAGAAAAATAGACATGACTTATAAGTCTAGTGAGTTACTCTTTCCTATTACCAATTAGTTCGCATATTAGAACAACTTATACCTATTCACCTCAAAATCTAATGTGTCCAATAGGCCCCCACTTATTTCATTCATTCCATAGTATTATGTTGCTGCTAGTGGGCCAGTCATTTTTAACCATTTTGTATATTGATGATACATCAAATTGAAATTTATTTAAATGAAGAAATGTTAAGTATTATGATATATATAACATAATGTGAGAGAAAATATGTAATTAGTGTTTATTAAATTAATGTACACAATTACTTATACCCAAAAAGAAAAAATAAATTGAAAAAAGAAAAAACTAAATAACGACACTCTGGACCAAAGGTTATGTACAATTTTTCGATCTTTTCCTTTCATTAGAAGTTAGGGAAAATGCTACCATCCCGTTACGGGATAGTTCTTTTTTCTTCTGTACTCGTAGATATACATGCAATCTAGTAATGTCTAGATAATCTAAAGTTAAAAAATACAACAAAACCATCTCGTAACAAGATGGTAGCATTCTAAAAAGTTAGATTCCTTTATTTTTTTTTTCCCCCTTAAAAAAAGGTCCTATTTTAGCCTTAAAAAACAGCACGCTACACGTCAGCAAAGCTAGACCTCTCTAGGATCAACAAAAATGGACAGACCAGGCGGCGACTTTGTCCAGTCCCCAACAGACCCGTCACTGTAGTCCTCCCCAAGCCGCTTCATGCACCACAGATCCTCCGCGCACGATAGACTCTTCCAATGCGGTATCCCTAACCTGAGCGGCTCCCTTCCCACCTCGGCCGCCACAACCTCACACCCTTCCTCCCGCGCCAGGTTATGGGCCACCCCACACAAGGCCCTCATCATCCTCACCGCATCTGGGCCCTCCCCCCCGAGCCCATACAGAAACAGAAACCCAAACGGCCCAAATACGTTCGGCACCGATGGTACGCGCAGGCAGGGCAGGGCCCTGTCCAAGACCCGCGTGGCCCTCGCCAGCCCCTTCCTCACGCGCGACGCGCCCCGCACCTGGAGCCGGTACACCTCCTTGCAATTCCACACGCTGACCACCGCCCACGACTCCGGCGGAGCCGCCAAGAACCCCCCGGCGCCGGGCCACTCGGCAGCACCACCATAGGAACCCTCCGGCACGGCGAGGAAGGTGCCCAGACTCAGGCGGTTGTTGAGGACGGCGTCGATGTCGCGCGGGAAGAACTCGGTGCATGAGAATCGCTGGCGGTAGAGCGTCTCGGCGTCGCGGGAGCCGAGCCGGATGATGGAAACCCTCCGGTCGGCCCGGGCGCGGTGGGCGAATACTGGCTGGACGAGGATAGATGGAGTCCGGAACTTGGAGTAGCCGCATTTCTTGGTGAATAGGTTGACGGAGGCCTCGTTGTCGTTCTCGGTGGCCATGTAAGAGTACTCAGCGCCGTTGTCTCTGAACCATTCCTCCATTTTGCGCACGAGCTTCAATCCAATGCCCATTCGCCTGCACAAATTTGTCCGACATAAATATATATAAAAAAAATTGATTTTTATTTATATATATATATATAATAAGATAAAAAATAAAATTGAAGACATATTGGGCCTACAAGGTATCAACAAGATTCCAGAAAGAATAAATGTCACAAATATGTGCAAAAATAGAGGTAGCAAAGGGGAAATTAAAATAATTGGTTTTGTCTAGCCAAAATTGAAAAAAAAAAATAATAATAATAATAAATTAATCCATTTATAGAAGTTATACTTAATTTTTAGTGAATTTCTTTATAAGAATAGTGTACTGTACCTGTGAGACGGTGAGACACGAAGGCCCAGGATATAAGCGAGTTTAGCGTAGACGGGGAGTGCCTCCTTATAGTTGTTATTATTATTATTATTATTTTTATTATTATTATTATTATTATTAATATTAGCGTTAATCCTGGTGAATTTGGTGCCACAAGTAACGGTTTTGATGGAGCCCCTCACAGTCCCAACTATCTCTCTCCTCTCCCAATCCTTCCCGCCGCCGCCCACCACCACCATCTCCGCCACCTGTGCAACCGTATCCACCCAATAGCACACGTCAGCACGCAAACAGAGATTTTTCTCTATTCACAAAATACTACAATCCAGTTACGGAATAATTCCGTTATTTTTTTTTAATCGTAGATGCACATGTAGATCAGTTATTTAAAAAAACAACAGAACCATCTCGTAATCGGACTGTCTATTAATCATAACTATTTTTTTTTATTTTTTTCTTAATTCGAATTTGCTAGTATTACTGACCAGCATGAGATGAGCGGGCGAGTTGCGGATCCTGGCAATCGGGTCGCCCAAGAGGTCCGTGTAGAGGGCCATCTGGTCGCTGGGCCCCACCTCACAACTGTTCTCCATTCGCTCCACCGCCTCGAGGTCCTTCTTCGGGTTGTACTCTCTCACCACCACCGCCACAGCCACCACGCCGGCGCCGCCGCAATCCATCACCATTTTTTTTTCTTTTTTGTTTTATTAAATAAAGGAAAATCGAACAAACAGGTAGCTATGTGGGGAGAGCGGTTTATATTTATATGTAGTCGAAAAATCGCGGGTTTATTAGGAAAGGGGCCGAAGCCATTATATATAGCAAACGTGTGCTTTGCAGTTAAAAAGATGAGATCAGTGTTCTGTTGTGCAAATAAATTTAAAAAATAAAA